TCCTCAAAACAGCATTTTTAAAAATTGCATATTAAAACAGGAAAAGAGCGTCTTTAAACCAGTCATTGTAAGAAATTATGATCTGTCTTGCAAAAAATCTTAAACAGCACTTCAATATTTTGACATCAAAATCTGGAGAGAAACTATTTTATGATCTGGTCTTCTGCATTACTGGTCCATGCTGGAAAAGCACAATCTCCTTTGTGATAAGCACTGAAAAGGGAAACCTCTTGAGCAAAGGTTCACACAGTCAACTGATCACTGATGACCTGGTTTTGCAATTAAATTAGTCCAGCTCAGTGATGTGCCTTTAGAGTGTTTGGTATGTTCTTAATATTCAATTTCAGGACAGTTAAAACTGAGCCAACTGAAGTACATCAAACAAAGCAAAAAAAGTTTTTGCCATTGTTTCATTTCTTTTTCCAAAACTAATTATCCAGACAGGTCTATAAGAGATGTTAACTTCTGTGGACTAATTTCACTATTCAGTTTACTCTGACTTCTTTCTCTTTGAAGAAATGTAAATCTACTTCTCATAATTGTTTGTTATGTCTACATCACTGAACAATCCTTTAATTAAAACACAAGCATATGTAGCAAGTCATCTGAAGTATAGATAATTTTACTCATTTTTGCAAGAGAATGCTCAAGGTTGGAGGATGCACTGTCTAAATGCAATGATAAGACATTATCACTTTAATTGGACAATTACAAAGGGTCTTTTAAAGTTAAATGCATAGCTAATCTACTAGGTCACTCACGTTAGATGACTGTTCCTAAAGCACTAAATGAGTCAAGTTGTAGTCACTTCCTTCTGTTCTGGACTACCTTTAAACTGCACTAAGAATGTGTACAAATCTCTTCCCAGTTTACCTACCAAAACCCCTAGTGGACTAGCCTCCATTTAATCACTTTTCCTCCAACAGAATGTGCTTTAAAATATTTTAAAAATACATACCACTTTTCTTTCCAGAACAGAATGTTCACTCTATTATCAAATAAATGAAAACTAATAATTCAACAGTGAAAAGCATTTGAGCTATATCTAAATTTCCAGCTCTCATCAAGAGACTTTCAGATGAAGAAACAACAATGTATAGGAACTATTCATTCTACACATCAGATAGAAGTACACAGACATCCACCCAACTGTCTTAGGCTTCAATTCAATCATCCCTCATACTGAATACCCATTTTTATATTATTTATTACTAAGGCATTTGGATGCTCACAGACACACTGTGTGAAGACTGGCAACATTCAATATTTACTATCTAATTTTTTAAACTTCATTAAGCAAACACAAAAGGTTCAGAAAAAAACTTAAGCTAATGCAGAAGATGTGTACCAATGCAGAAGAACTGAGCACTTCGCTACACTCTGGAAGAAAGTGTACTTTATTGGATTTAATTAAGAAGAAAAATATTAATTATTATGCATGATCAAACAGACCATTTTTACAGTAATTCAATGCATGTGTTCATATTATTTTGCTTAAGAAAAAGATCTCCATGTATAGTAAAACAAGATTTTTTTGTCTAGTTATAGAACTAAAGGCAATATGAGGGGAAAGAAGGATTTTTAAAAATGAAGTAGCACTTTAGCAATACACATCAAAATTAAGACCAGACCTGATGACTAGGTTAAACTGACATTGACCAAATCAAAACAAGTCCAGTGTAGAAGTGGAGCTATTAATGAGTTAAAAAGATATAAGCTACAAGTCCACAAGATAACACACAAGAAGTATGATGGAAAAAGACCCCAAAACAGTAACTTAGGAGTTCTTGGGTTTTTAAAGATAAATGTATTACAAGACTTGAGAAAAAAACCAAAAAAAAAACCAAAAAACCAACCAAACAAAAAAATCCCACTGAAGTGATTTCACTTGTGCAATGAACAAAATAGTACGGCAGAAGTTTCAATTTCCACCAATTCTCTGTGTCCCCAATAACAACTTATATTAGTGTCATTGGCAAATGTACTTTGAAACCCAGTTACACAAACACTAGACTGAGATGCATGAAAACATCAGGACAAAATTGTCTTTTTTACCCCAATTTTGTTTGCAATTCAGTTGGGATGTAAAAATCATTTACACTAGCCTTAAATTCACCATGGAGTTAAGAATACAAATACCATAAAAAGCAATACTGAATCTCTTTCAATCTCTTAATCTCATACCTAATCCCATTATTTGGTCAGGCTAGTAAAACTGGAGGTCTTCATGAGCTTTTAAATAAAGTTTGCATCAAAAGTACTTTCATACTTAAATACCTTGTGATATTGACCTACCCTATGTGAAAATTCCTTTTTATTGAACTACTTTATTCCAGTCAGGTTATTTCTTCTTCTTGCATGTAAGTAAAAGCATATTGCTTCATTTTAAAGAAAACAAAGGCAACACCACTGTTGATTCAGTTGTAAAAGAGAAATTTCATGTTTTAGCAAAGCAATACCATAAAATACTTTAAAGCTCTTAAAGCTGCACTGCTTTAACTTGGATGTTTAATTCATGCATGCTATTTTCACCTCATAATTAGAACAGAGAGAATACTTGACAATGCACTCTTCACACATGCTTCAGTAGCTGCATGGCAGAAATCAACAGGTTTCTGTTTTCCTACAAGTCACAGGCATTTGCTTCCTTTCACTCAAGCAGTGCTTAAGGAAAAGCAGCTTCCCACCTCTTCACTGTAGAACAGTCAATCTGCTGTAATTATTGTAGTCCTGTTTGATTCATTACATGCCCAGGTACATGGAAATCTTTAACAGTCATCAGATTACAGCAGAGATAATGAAAATACTGAATCATTATGTTTTCTAGCAAGCATCACTAACTACAAAACTACCCAAAATTCATAAATACATGGTGAAGTATTTCTCCCTAATAAGAACTTTAAATATAGTACATATCTCTACTATGATAATTTTTATCCTTTTTGAATAACCTAAATAAAACTTGTTTCAGACAATCACTCCAAAGAGAGGGTTACTAGAATAAATTCCACTTGCTTAAGAACGCATTTCTAATGGGAAAACTCTTGCAAGAAGCAGGTGGACCACGAAAGACACATCAAGAAAGGGAGAGAAATGAAAGTACACTGCTCTGACTAAATTGCAAATACTACACCTTTATCTGACTTACACAGTTGTGCAATTTTATTTAAAAGTGTTACCCTAGTGAGCAGGAAAACACTATACAGGCAAATTCTACCTGCTGTAAGTACATTGGTTCAGAAGTGTAGGTATCTATTGTAAACAATTTTTAGTGCTCTAGTAGTAGCTTCATTATCTACAAAAAATAAGACAAATATGAAATGTCAATTTCTATGTGTAAATAGGTCATTTTAATAATGTTTAAATTCAGCAGCTAAATTACAATAGCACACATGAAAACTTAAGCCAAATGCAGACCATTTCTTAGATTTTGAAAGCAAACAACACAGTCGCAATTACTTTTCTTCTTAAAAGAAACATGAAAAACTGTTGAGATTTTTTACAGGGAAGACAAATATAAAATGTGAAAGAGAATAAAAGAAAAAATATAGTTAAATGAACACATTTATAAGGTATATACTGAAAACAGAACGGATTAGAGTCAGAAGAGCCAACATTAAATTTCCAAGGAGCAAGATGGCTTTATTTAATGACTGGAGAAAGAAGAATCCAATTCAGAATGTGGATAAAGCAAACAGATATCTCAGATGCCTATCCAAGTCCTCCCCTTTCCTTGCACTGCTTGTAAATGATGTGCCAAAGGTGAGCACAGATGAGATGTGCTTCTTAAAAAAAACCTGGTTTGAGACTTTAAGGTTCTGATTCATTATAACATTCTTAACACAGTGAAGATTTAGGCTTCATTCAGCTTTGGATCACAGGCTGGGGTACTGTTCCTTTTCTCACCCCTCAGGGCAGTAATGCCAGTACTTGGCTTTATCTCTTGTGCCTAGCACAGTTCTCACAGCTCTAACAGGTCCCACTCTCCCTAGCCACACCTTTCACTATCATTCCTTCCTGATGGAAACTGCATCTCCCTGCACTTACTCTCTGCCACTGGTGTGGCAATCTGCTGCTAATCCCTTCTCACACCAGTGGAATCTCCCCTTGGTTTCATGCTGTAACTTAGAAGGAATATACTGACATTATCTCTACTACTTCCCTACTTCAGAAAGTAAAATTTAATATCTTTTAAAATGGTCCCTCCAAAATCCTACCACACTCCATTTGAAATGCAAATATTCTAGAGGAAACTACCAGCTATCTATTTTTAGAAAATCCTTCTGCTGCTTCTAACAAAGACTTTTAGATCTGCAGTCCCAGATTACAATACCTAATGAAAGCCAAAAGACATCCATTTTAAAATTTTCTCAGAAGTAAAATCCTGCACACTTTTGACTCTCTAAAGTCTAAAAAGCCTATTTGGAGATAGAACTGTACCTCACAAATAATTAACAGCTAACATCAATAGTCAGAGATCGCTGTGTTAGGTACTATGTACTTACTTAGCAAGAGATAAGCTTTTATCCTAAAAGCTTGCAATTAAGCTTATTAAAAGTGACACAAAGACATGAGAAAAAGACAAGATAATAATACATTAATTATTATTAGCATAAAGAAGAGTCATAGCATACCATTTGCCTAGTCATTCCAATGAATTAGCACAGTCAAGCTTTTTTTTTTAAAAAGCATCTGAAAATGAAAACGAAAGCGACTTCTGAGACTTATGCAGGTCTTTCCCTTTTCATGTCAAGGGCAGCAGAAGAAAGTATGAAAGCTTTTCAGGGAAAACTAGAACAAAGATGTATGACAACAGCGGCAGGCCTAAACCCAATAAACTGAAAGCTCAAAACCAGTAACAGAGACAACTAGATTTTGTTCTATGCTGTAGGAGTCTGGAATGCAGGATTTCCATCCTTTTTAAAAGTGCTTGGTATTTCAATGAGACTTTGTCATGTTGCTCAATTCTGTCCACACTTACTGGAGAGCCAAATACTCACCTCATCAGTAAGAAACTCCTTACTTAGACCAAAGTCTGTCAGCACCACATGGCCATCAGAATCAAGGAGAATATTCTCAAGTTTTATATCCCGATATATAATTCCCAACTGCAAACAGAATATAAGAAAAAGTATTTCCAAACAGTGTAACCTCATCAAGAAACTGCTGCTGAATGCTTTTAAAAATAAAGCCACCGGAATTCACATTATTAAGGTATTTTGACAAATGAAAGTTGCACCTCAAAAGACAATTTTTTAAAGCCTTTGAAGAAATAACTAAAATTACATTAAAAAATCTTAGAAATTACACTGCACATTAATGTCTTAAAATTTCAAGGACATACTGTATATCTCTTGAATGTAAAAATGACCAAATACTTGCTGTTGAGTGCGAAACTCAGCTCTCCTTTCATTAAGAAAGAAAATGGATGCTTCTGTTATACAGTCTAGACATAGACCATACTCACATGCATGCTTCATAATAGTCTACAAATCTACTTATTACTTCTCAGAACTGTAACACTTGTCATGTCTACAGCTGTGCTAGAACCCTACTACTCAGTTGTGTAGAAACAAGGATAACTGAACATTGCAACCCAAAAATGTTCATGTTCACTAGAGATTAGTTTTAGTGACATACACCGGTTCACAAGAATTACTAAAAATGAACAAATCATTTGTCAATAACACTACTCTTCACCCTGCAGGCAAAAAATTGTGGCCTTAATCTGGTGCACAAGGAGGGACACTTCAGTGGGGGTTATTTCTAATTATACAATTAATGTCCCATTACTAGATAAAGTTACTTCCAATTTAAAACAATCTAAAACAATAGTTCGCCTTATTAACTTTATATGATACAAAAAGAACACAGCTGTAAATCCTCAAAATCAGCACCACAGTAAAGTTATTTTACCTTGTGGAGATGTTCAAGTGCCAAAACGATTTCTCCGATGTAAATTTGCACCTCATTTTCTGAGAATTTCTCTCTGTGTGAAAGATGAGTAAACAGTTCTCCTCCATTTATATAGTCTAAAAAATAGAACACAGAACCTTATAATTTCACTTTCTGACAATTTTATTTTCTTATTGGAATATTATTAGGTACTTTGTAAGCTATTTAGTAACACATTCTACTATCAGATGCTTTTCCTTAATTGTAATTCACTAATATTTCACCACAATATTCAATTTCTTTCTTAGAGAACTGAAGAAAGAACAAGACCCACTTCTGAATAACCATCAGAACCATAAAAAAGCCTCAACTATTCCTAAATTATAAATATGTTTTTATCATAAAATCAGTCTTTTAATTATTTAGGAATATGAAAAGAAAGAAGCACAAATCATACCTACTAACAGAACCCTTGTAGAATCTTATGAAATAATCTGATGAGCAACAAGGCAGACTAACACAAAGAAAAGCAATTCAAAAAACAGGTATTAGGGGAAACAATCAGCTATGGACAACTACAAAATTTTCCCTTCACAAGGGAAACCTTGATAGCAAAACTTACTGCAGGAGGTTATTTCCACATACACTCCCTCATGGAAACCACAGTTTCATTCTTTGCAGGCTATGACACAAGGATTTTCCCACAGTAAAGGAGAGGGAAAAAAAATATTACAACAGAGCTCCACTGTAACACAAACATATTTTAGAGGTAGAGCTGTTTATGATAGCAGTGTACATTACAGCCATTAATTTGCAATCTCACATACCCCATTATTGTATTTGACATCCACGTATACAGAGCAGGGAACGTGCACCAAAAAAATCTTACTCGGTATTTTCTTGAATATTGTTTCTATAGATTTGTTGGTATGAAACACAAATCCATAAAAGGGGTCTGATCCTATTTTAAATTAATAGTTTGAAGGACAAAGCACATAAACAAATTACACTTATTCTGATCTCTCTCTACTCTTCAGATCTCCAGTTCTCTCTTTGAAAAGGAATATTAGTGGAATCAAACAACGTGAGAAGCATTATTAATCTAGACCAGCAAGCAGATTAAAAAGATTTAATGGAGTATAAATAACCCACATTTTACAATTGTTTCCTTCTTTAAAAAAACTTTAACAGGTAGAAAAAGGTAACAGAAAAAATTTTTAAAATATTTCTAGCCAGAACGACTAATCTAGAAGGGAAGCACTGAATTGCCATGGAATCACTGAATTGTTCTAAGGACTGTGACAGACCCAAACCAAAGCTGCCACAAGGAGCAGCACAACAAGCTTAATTATATCCAGGTTGTAACACTAACCACAGCCCAACGAAACAAACAGCCTTCAAATTCTTGGTGCAAGATCAAATGCATCAATGGCACAATGGAAAAAAATGGTTACTTCAGGATAAACTCCACCTGACAGTTCAGATTATTTAGCTATTTTTTAAAGTATTAGACATTTAACCTTGTGTGCCAAGTTCTGTATAGAATTGATGGTACTCACATGGATACAACACTTGGTTTGTTCCATATAGTTCAAAGCCAACATAAAAATTGGAATCAAATCCCAACTCTGTTTTCTGGAAATGTGGCAGAAATGCAGCTGCATGTCTGTACTTGATTCAGTCTAAATTCATACAGCTATGCAATCTGACAGCATGAAGAACTGTACTAAATATTGCACTGAGGCTCCAATTCTAAGACCTCTAAAAACTAAAATGGCAGGTAGCTCACACACCAAATTCAGCCAAGTACAAAAACAAGACAAATACTGTTTTCCTCCCAAAATCCAGAAGCCTCTGAAACACTTAAATTCCAAAACTAAAGTGATTTACACAGACGTATATAATTAGACACGAAAAACTTGTAACAAACAGTTTGGACCTTTTCCCCTCGGGGAGGGTGTGAAGCCCAGTTGATTTATAAAGTAGCTTTACATAACGTTAAGGAGGAAAAAATTTCACTGTCACAGAAAGTTATTAAAAGATATTTTTAAACTAATTATTCCTACTTTCTGCTGAAAATGGAGGAAAAAAAATTACCTTTTTGGCCCAAACAGATATGCTGAGGATGGATGAAAAAGAAAAACCAAAACAAAAGGCTGTAATTTTATCTTAGCTATGAACTTCTTGCTTGAAACATCACCTCAACATTGCATTATGGTGGACACATGCCCTGTCTGCACTACCTGCTGCTACTCAGCATTCTTCAGAACTACTGGGCTTGCTCCTTTTTGACTCTTACGAGAATATAATATAAAGCTTTTAACTTTCTTTCATACAAGAGGCTTTTACAGCCTTCTAAGTATGCTTATCACCTAAACTTCCCCTCTACCATGTATTTATTTTTAGGCAACTACATCTGTCTCAGGATTTTTTTTGTTTGGGTTTCCCCACTGCCTTTTTTTTTTTTTTTAATGGGATTTAAGGTGCATTTTAGCAAGAAAATACCTAGACTTAAAGAATGGTTCCATAATATTTATAATAAATGTTCACATTTTCTCTCATTTAATATTTCGATTTTTTTCCCAAACTGTTAGTCAATAAGTTTAAATAAAGTATAAATTTCAAAACCTTAATTATTATAACAGATACCATCAAGGAATCACAAAGATATCAATATATTTCTAACTATTTGTTTGTGACAAACTTTTATGTATTTCTTTAATGTCCTAGACAGAGGAATATAGAAGAAATTATATTACAATTTTCAACTCTCATTTTTGAAAGGAGTTTAGTGAACACTCCACTTCAGTTCTACATATTTATTATTTCACTGTAATATATGAAACTAAGGTATGTGCATAGAAGACCTTCCTAAGAATTGACAGCTAGAGGTGCAGATTCATTTAACATGAATAAAATTTTGCTAATTTGATGTAAATCAGACTGTTAATAAAAGTTAAAAAAATTGAAGTTACAGATAAAAAGGAATACAAAACTTGCTCTTCAATTAGAAGACAGTTTACTTCCTCAAACATTTCACTAGAGAAGCATATTATGAAACCAAGCCTTAAATTAATAATTCATTTTACAATTCTTTTAAAATACTCTATGTAAGAAGGTTTTAAGAATTGCTGGCAATTTTCTTACAAATACATCTCATACCCCAAACACTAAAATTTGCTGCTAATCTGAAAGGTAGAAATATTTCTAAAATTAGCATAGTACCGAACCTTGTGAACAAGCTCCACTTTCAGCACAGAAATGTGTGATTTTTGACTGTCTCTTAGCACCCAAAAATTTAAACATGCAGGTATCTCAATATTCAAAGATCAAATTATCTCATAACAAAACGATTAACAAAGCAAATGCTTCCAGGTCATTGATGAATATAATATACTTTTTTTGCTGCACACAAGTCACAGATAACCACTATCCTCTCCAAGTCAAAGTAGCACACTCAAGCTCAAACAGGAAAACCACAAACACAGACACTGTTGAAGATTAACAGTATTTTACTTCCTATGCTTTCTCATGCAATCTCCAAACACACTAGACTTTAGACCACATTAAAAAACCCTTACAAAACATTGAGATAAAAGGGCCCCCTTTTTTTTTTTTTTTTTTTCATAGAACTTGATTCTGAAGAGTACTCACCTAAAATGAGATGAAGCTTTGTATCTGTCTGGAAGGCATAATGTAACGTGACCAAAAACGGTGATTGCCTAATGTGCTCCAAGACTTGTCGTTCTGTCCTTGTGTGCTCAGTTGTTTTGGCTTTTTGAACTATTGTTGCTTTCTTCAATACTTTCATGGCATACAGTTTTCCAGCATCGTGGCCGCTTACTTTCCTCACTAGGAATACTTTTCCGTAGGCTTAAAAATTGGGGAGAAAAAAAATCCCAAAAACAAAGAAAAGAAAGAAAAAAAGAGACAAAAACCACAAGTTACCTACTTGTACTACAGATCTGGCTGATGCCATTATTACTTTCAGTTACTCATTGTTATAGCGGACAGTAATCACTCAGGCTAAAAATCTACTAAAACACTTTTCCTCTTTCACATTGACCTCATCTGAGCAAAATTTCAAACAAATGAGCTTCATAAGTGAACACTGCAAGAGTGGTAAAAGCAATTAACTTCTTCAGTATTTAAAAACAATTTTAAAAGCTGATGATTTCATCCTTTGTAATAACTTAAAACATCCATACCTAGAATTAAGCAAGAGTTCTGAGTAAGAGATGCTATTTTTTGTTCTCAAAATAGTCTGCTCATATTTGCACAACTCATATACTTTCATTACTGGTTTTATAACACTGAAGTTACAAAAACCTGTAGAAAAACCAATGACTTCTTCCCATCAGCATTTCATACATAGGAGTTTTCTGAGGCTCTCATACTGGACTTAAAAGGACTCCTGAGAATGCTACATAAATAAATTTTTTATCTTTACCAGGCAAACCTGTAGAAACAGTAAAGGTTAGAATTAGTGTGCAGTTGCTGGGCCAAGATCTCACTGCAATTACAGAGATATGGTGGGGTATCTTGCATAACTGGAATACTGTCATGGATGGCTACATACTTTTTAGGAAAGAGGCCAGAAAGGCAAGGTGGTGGAGTTCTCTTTATGCAAGACAGCAACCAAAATGTATCAAGCTTTGCCTAGGGGTGGACGAAGGAGCCAAGAGCTTATGGATAACAATTCAGGGATAGGCTAAAATGGGTGTTACTGTTATGGGTGTTTACTACAGGCCAGCTGATTAGTAGGAAGTAGATGAGGCCTTCCACAGACAGCAGGAAGAAGCTGTCACCAGCACAGGCCCACAGTTCTCATAACCACCCCTACAGCTACTGGAAAGGCATCATAGCTTGGCACATCGGAGCCCAGGAGGTTCCTGCAGAGCACTGATAACTTTGACATAGATGGTGGGGAAGCCCACTAGGAGAGATGTATTGCTGGACCTTGTATTAAGAAAACAAAAAAGGACTGGTTGGGGATGTGATGGCTGGAGGCAGCTTTGACTGCAGTGTCCAGGAGATGGTGGAGTTCAGGATTCTGCATGGAAGAAGTACGGCAGTAAGTAGGATTATAGCCCTGGACTTCAGGAAAAATAACTCTGGCACCAATCTTCAAGGGCCTACTTGGAGGAATCTCATAGGTTAGGTGTCTAGAAGGTAGGATGGGTCCAGGAGAGATGGTGAATATTCAAGTAGCACTTCCCTCTATGCTTAGGATCAGGACATCCCTGTGAATAAGACATTAAGCAAAGGGGGGCTGGAAACCTGAAAGGATGGGCAAGGCACTTCTGGCAAAAATCAGACAGAATAAGGAAGTTTACAGAATGTGGAAAAAGGGTCAGGCCACTTAGGAAGAATACAGGAATATTGTCAGAGTATGGCAGCTACGTGTCAAGGAAAGCAAAGGTCCACTTGGAATTAAATCTGTCAAGGGATATCAAGGACAAGAGGGGCTTCTTCAAGGATGTCAGTAGCAAAAGGAAGACTTAGGCAAATGTGGGCTCACTGCCCAATGAAGTAGGTGCCCTGGTGACAAAAGGTACAGAGAAAGCTGAGTTACCAAACACCTTTTCTTCTTACTCACTGCTAAGGCTGGCCCTCAGGAATCCCAGGCCCTGGGGGCTTTCCCTTGGTTGAAGATAGGGTTAGACAAACCTGACACCCACAAATTCATGAGCCCTGGAGGGATTCACCCATGAGTGCTGAGGGATTTAGCAGATGTTAGTGCTAGACCACTCTCTATCGTCTTCGAAGGGTCATGGAGAACAGGAAAGGCTCCTGAGGACTGAAGAAAAGCCAATACCACACCAGTCTTCAAAAAGCGTAAGAAAGAAGACCCAGGAAACCATAGGCCAAGCAGCCTCACCTTCATCCTTGGAAAGGTGATGGAACACCTATATATGCATGTGGAGGAAAAGAAGGTTATCAGGAATAGCAAACATGGATGCACCAAGGGGAAATCATGCTTGAACAATCTGGCATCCTTCTATGAAGAATGAGATATAAACATGATTACAGAACTGCAGTACTTCTTCTGTGAAATAAGACGAAGCCTATTTCTTCTCCTCTTTAACATGGAGAAGACTGAGAGGGGATCTCATCAATGCATACAAATATTTTATAGACAGATGTCAAGAGGATGGGGTCACACTCCTTTCAATAGTGCTCAGCAACAGGGTAAGAGGCAACCCACACAAACTGGAAAACATGAAGTTCCATAAGAATATGAGGATAAACCTCTTTGAGTGTGACAGAACACTGGAACAGGCTACCTGGAAAGGCTGTGGAGTCTCCAACTCTGGAGCTATTCAAAACCCACTTGCACACAATTCCATGCAACATGTTCTGGGTTAACCTGCTTTAGCAGAGGGGTTGGACTAAGTGGCCTCCAGTGGTCCCTTCCAACCCCAACCATCCTGTGATTCTGTAGTAGACACAACAGGACATTATGTGAAGAAACAACTAGTGTTACTTTTGTAGATGGCAATAGTCATTGCTCAAAGAATCAGGAGAAAGGAACTATGAAATGGCTGACTGATTTAGATCAAGGTACTTAACAAGTTCTCTTACAGAAAAGGTCTTTAAAACACTAAAAGGTTACGAGTGCAAAGGGAGGGAATCCTCTCAAAAACTGAGAGCTATTAGAAGACAAAAAACTAAAAGGTTAAAAACAAACATTCAGACTTTTCAGAGACAGCAAGTCACCACAAGAATTCATCCTGCCTGATTCAGTCATATATGAACAAGTGAGGAAAAAAATTTGCTTGTTTTAATAAATTATCCAATGCAACAGAAATTGAAGCTGACTGCTAAAAACTCTACCACAGTATCAAAATGCTAAGTAGAAGAAAAAATGAAATGACAGAGAAAATTTAAAATAGTAAACATGTAATCCATGTGACGTACCATAATAGCACATAGTGTTAGAACTGAGGAGAGAAAAACACCTGAAGTTACAAAAGACCACCCCAAATAGAATGATAGAAACTTCAAGGAAAGTAACGAAGAAATGACACAAGTGTACCCACACCTTGAACACAAACCCAGAAAACCCTTAGGCTGTGGTAGAAATCTTTCTGTGCTCCTGTCTTGAATGAAGCACACTGTTTTGGTACCTTCTCTGTTCTGTCCCCAAGTACCCTGCTCCCATCAGAAAAAAGAAAGTATAAAACACTAGGAAAGTATAAAAGAACTCCTCTAAACATGAATGGTACTAAACATACTGCCATGTTTTATTTTGCCTGAGGAAGTAGAGTACTTAAGAAGATTCTTACAGAGAATTAAAGAAGAAAAAAATCAAAAACTCTAAGAAGGTCAGTAAAGAACAAATTTTCATTTTTTTCAGAAACAAAATAACTAAGACAACAAATTAAAACATTAGGTATCAGCATTAAAAACTATACAAAGCACACAAACAAATATGCATTTAAGCTGTGGAACTACTGTTACATGATACTGCAGCTGTCAAAAATGCAGATGAATTAGAAAAGATTACATAAATCCCTGAAGGAGAGGAAAGCACAGCAAGTGTTGCCAAACTTTAAAGAGAATCTCTGGCTCAGACAGACCCCAAAGTGTAGGCTGCTACAAGCTCACTAAGGAAACCATCATTGCAAGCCTCTCCTTAAGCCATCATGAGACAGAAAAACTAACCAGCTTATTGTTTTGTCCAACCCTTGTAATTACCTTCACACTACTTTCTCAAAGAGAAATATCTCAAAACTGAAAATACACTGGACAAGTGTATACAGTCCTGAGGTGAGACATTCAAATTTAGTTGGCCTTTAAGAAAGCTATAGCATACAGAGCTCCCAATAAGCATCACGTGTAACTGCAGATTTCTTTCTGGATTTTTTCCAGATGGGTAATTTAGAGTTTTTAACTACCAAATGAAATGTGAGCTTTTTTCCTAGATCTGAGTTCTACTTCAGTGAGTATACAGAACTGACACTGCTCATATACTGAACAATTCTTCCTAAGGAGTTCTTTACCTAACTCGTTGTACCCTAAGGAATCATGCTTCCCTTCTTTACAGAACTCATTATCTGCAAAAAGAGCTTTCATAAAATCTCTTCATAAAATATCTCTCAAGAATGTCAAATAGAGTCAGAAGAGGTGACATCTTTCCATTTTGTGAGATATGCAGGACAGTCTTTTTCAAGATTTTGCATTTTGTGTTGCATTCTCCAACTTTGCAGTTACGAGATCTCAAGCATACATAAGCCAGACTGAATGGTCATCAGCTACTCATCACCAGGGAACGAGAATTTTATCAGAAATGTGGGAGAACATGAAGTTCAATCAAAATGAACAAAAGCCTCATGACTGTAAGTCGGCTACCTGTATCTTTAATCACATTTTATAAAAACATAATAACGCATCTTAGGTGAGAGAATGCAGTACCTACTACAGCTTTTCATGTAGTATCAGAGAAAATTATCTGGTTAGAGTAACAGCTGCAAGAATCTCTAGAAACTATACTTCTGTTGCCATAAAAGACTTTGCAACACAAAACTTTGCCATGGTACAAATTGTTTCTTCAGGAATCTGAAAAGGACTGACAGAATGATGACGATTCTCAGCATTTTTATGAGAATAAATCTTAAGTAGCACTATTTTAATCAAATGACTCATAATATATCCAACACCAGAATCTCTGATAAAACCACAAGAAATTTACTTAAAAGACAACACTGCAAAAGCGATTTATTTGAGTGGCAGCAAGGAGAGAGTACATAAGCTAATTGCAACACTCTCACCTGAAAACTGTACTTTAGTAAAGCCTTTTTAATTTCTCAAAGAGCAACATTTTCATGTTCATTCTCATAAAATCTCATGTACATCTCATCTACTGCCCA